TAGATCGTCCATATCATCTTGTCCGTGTAACTTACCCAACATAATGTATATAATAATAATAATAATGCGAACATCAACAACGCATACTATATATAATGTACTATTGCCATTCTGTTGCGGTCGGATTTATGTATGTTACTCCGACCTGGGCGAATATTACAACTTAATTGAAAAATATTTGATTATAAACATGAACAAATTAAAAAGGTTAAAGTACATACCTACATGATAAAAATGATGTATAACGCAATATAATTTGTCGAACGATGAACGCGGCTGTCCGGTGTTGTGCACCGTCGACTCTATTAATTTTTCTACAGTTTTTTTTTTATGTACACACACCTTATTTAGTAATGTGGATTTTAGGTAAAAAAATCGTTGCCTACTTGCACCCTCTCCCCATCCCCTTCTTGGTGGTAAATTCACGTTATTTAATTTAAATTATGAAAATTCTCGTTATTTAGAAACAAATTAATTTATAAAAATCAACTTGCCGACAGTCTTAATTGGCTCCGTTAATATGTTTATAATTTAAACCAAAAATACTGTAAAGAATGATATTGACTTTAGTCGAACTTTGAGAGAGCAAGAATTTTTATCATTTATATCTTATCACTTATCCATTATCTTTCGGCTCTTATCTCTAATCGTTTATCATTTATCAATTATCTCTAATCTCTTATCACTTATATCCATAGATATATATATATTAATACTACTAGATAGCCGTCTTCGAATTATCAGTGAAGCCTACGCCATATGCAATGTAGACACAATCGGTAAACAAACGTTATCAATATTAGGCTTTATCATCTTGTATAAATTACCCATAGTCCTTTTGCTAGGTCTATGAAATTACCTTATGCCTTTATCATTTTTACCCGTTGTTGTTATATCATTGATAACGTTTGTTTATCGATTGTGCCTACGTTGCGTATGGCGGCGACTTCAACTAGTTTCAGGGTGATTATGACAAAGACGGCTATCTAGTATTGGTATATATCTATGCTTATATCTAATATCTTATCATTTATTTCTAATCTCTAACTGAAAGTGAAGGTGTCACTTATCGCTTACCTCTAATATCTTATCATCTATATCCAATATCATATCATTTATATCTCATCTCTAACTAAAGTGAAATTTTCTAACTTTTACTCAAGAAAGCGATTGAAAAAAAAAAATTATGTTTTAAAATTATTTCAAAACGTAAAGCTTAAACTATAAAACTGTTTAAAACTATAATTCTTGAATATATCTATAATTATTGAAAAAAAACGCTCAAACTATTAGGGTACTCAACGTATTAGGGTTTTTTTTTTGATATTTCAATGCAACCATCTTTCTCGGCCGCAAAAATGTAATTAGGAAAATCCACATAGTTTCATCCTTTTCGCTTCTAAATTACTTTTCAATCTTTGCGGTTGCGGCCGGCGATAAATCGCACGAAAACATACAAAATACAAATTGCACAAGTAGACGGTAAAACATATTATCGGTTACCCGTGGCAAATTATTCACAAGGCACCGGCGGAAATCCTATCTTCGCCAAGTTAAATTACACCGGTCGTAACAAATATCGTTGTAACTGATTAATTACAGTGAAACTATCTTTAACTTTTTTTTTTTCAGTTATACTCTGAAACACTTTGACAGTTACTCCTATATATTGAAACATATCTACATATTTAATAGAAATTACCTTAATATTTATAAAGCAGTTCAATTTGTATTTATTCGTATTTTTCTCCTCTGAAACGGTCAACCCAGACTGGTCGGAAATTAATATAAGACGTATAAAACCTTTAAGTTGAAGTTTTTCGTCCGTGTGCTCTTATTAAAAATGTGTTTTATAGTATCTAAGAAATATTAATAAAATTTTGTGTTATTAATATTGTGTTCGGTTACTAAATATTGAAAATAGATATGATTCCACGTAGAATCGACGCAACCACTTTAACTAGAACAAGTATGTTTTCTTAACATTTTGACTTTCTAATATTTAGATTCAAAGTGAATTTTCAGGTATGAAATTATCCATAACTTGATGAATGCCATGTCACGATTAATTTTATATGCATTTTTTTAAAGCTATAATTGTTTTTTTTTTCAATTATCCCAACATGCATCACTTTTACATACAACATCCTCGCTGAAAACGTTTAAACTGTAGAACGGCCCATACTCTAGTTATAAAAAAATAAATCCTATTACAATTTTTTTTTATTATATAACGAAAAAATCATGTCGGTTGGTAGATGATTTTTTTTTCGACAATAATTCTTGTTAGAACGTTAAATTAAAATTGCACGCGTTTTTTTCTTCGTTTGTTAAATTTACAATATTTGTTGGTCCTTCGACATAATTGGATCCGCCTCTTGAATGTTTACTTATTGTTAGTATAAACTCAGCATAGCAATAATTACAGTCTTGACGGGCAGTACTAATAGTGCGTACTATTCAGTTGATAGATATAAACAAATTATTATTTTTTTCTTTTTTTAAACTGTTTTCTTCGACGTTGATTGATTTTTACGTTTCCAAACGAATCTGACAAACATAAAATATATTGCATGATTTCAAACAAAAAAGTACAATTTTAAACGCACATTAATACTTGTTTGCATAATATGTGCCACTAATGTGCTATTACGTTTGTGTTGACCATTTACACTTTGATATAATTTATTTTAATTTCATCTTAAGCTTTGCACCTTTTTCCAACAGCAAACAAAATGTATAACAATATAATATTATACATAAATTAGTGCGATTTTAAATCTCGTATTATTAAAAAGTGGACAAAATTGTTATCAAGAACAAAATTAACCTAATCAATCAACTATATAACATTTGTTGCCATGGTGACTTTGGCGGGATGGTTGAGCGGACACTATAGATGTATACAATATAATATTATATGTATACATAATTAAGATGTTATAATAAAGAATTTTTAAAAAAAAATGAATTTTATTTTATCACTAGGCATTAATTGAAGTTAGTCAAGCGGAGGCTCTTAATAAGTTTAAATATTTTATGTTCAACTTAAACAGCATTAATTAACTATAAAAAAACTTACAAGCTGGATTTCCATGTTTTTAGTGGAAATTAATGACTTGGCGTGGACACTGCACATTATAAGCTGGGCATAAAAAATAAATAATCTCTTAATTTATACTACTACATTATTTCTAAATAAGAATGTGTTATCTGTTATTTGATATGCAATCAAAAAGCGATCATTAAATAAAACGTCAATAACATGGTACAATTTTTGTTTGAAAGTCTACTTGTTGTCATATAAAGTGTGTCACTTTGTACATAAAACATTTTTTTTTTAAATAAATTATTACAATATAGTCATAATAAAGAATTTGCACATCTTTAAAAAAATAATATCAATTGTCGAGTACCTGGTGTGTATTCTATGTAAATTATATTCGTTTACTGCGGACAGCACAAACGATCATCGTACATAAACCTATGGGATTTTATATGAAATAAACATTGTGTTCTATTAACTTAGACCAAAGCCGTTTGCCTGGCCACAATATACGATTATACTGCATTATTCATCAGCTCTGTGATATATCTTAAAATTGAATCACGTACAAAATAATATCACCTGTCGTCGCCGAGTTAAGCTCTGAAGACCTGTTGTAGTGTATACCTCTAGGTTAGTATATATATTATTATAACCCTCCTAATAACAATAATATATTAAAACTGCATACCTATACCAGGCAATTCTTTTGTATGTAAATCAACCAGAACACACAAATACCGTTTTGATCGATGATTGACAGCGTGTAATAATGTGGCGCTGCTTATTTTATATAAATATAATATTATTATACAGTAGTAGTATGGGTATAAGTACCTTATTGAATAACTACTATTATAATAATATTATAAAGAAGACTAAAGAATGATTTATTCTCACAAACTTCGTTTCGCGTCATCGCATACAATTAAAACGCTGCCAAAGCGTTTGGCTTTCCTTTGCTTTGAGGTTAAATGAAACAGTGAACTGGGCCTGAAAATATAAACGTTCTAATAGTAATTTGTAAAAATTATAATATCAATCCACAACAATTTAAAAAAGTTTATCCTCTTAAATCTTAAGTTAAACCACTTTGAAACATGGCAATTGAATGTTTTTAATATTTATTGATTTGTTGTTATTTCTATTATTCTGATACTTGTGTATAAATTAAGTCTCGTTCATTACTCGCTTACCCCAAGCACAAGTCATGGTTTTTGAGGCGGTGCCAGTTGCAACTTTGATGTTAATTATATGTTTACTTGTTTTGGCAACACATTGATTCATTTATAAAATTAAAAAAATAGTAAGGGGACAATTAACCAAAAGTACTTGTTTGAATACTGGAAAAGAAGATTGAAGATAGTTTAAATCTGAATTTGGAAATTGTTTCTAACAATAATTGTGTTGTCGATTTCGTTGTAGAAGCCAAACAATTAAATTTGTCTAATGTCTATACGAATATTTCTTATGGTTATCATTATCATGTCACGACCGATGACGTCAGCTGACAAAGAGATTAGCGATAAGATAGAAGTGATAACGCATGAGTGATATGTTATCACTCATATGTTATGTCACTATGGTAACAGATCAGCGATAGAGACAAGATGTGGTCCAAATTTGACTGAAATAAACATTGGTTTTTTTTTTTAAGTTTTTGTACTTTTAAGTTAAAAATAGGATGGCTTTGTTGCCTCGAAACTGCGAAGACTCCATACATGGCAAAAAAAAAGTTAATAAAATATTATAACAAATTGCTGCTAAACTTCATGAAATTTGGGAAAACCAGAAAAGTCGTTTAAAATGTTTAAATTTGTAAACTGAAAAAAAAAACCAAAGAAATACAAAATTAATTTCATTAAACATCTACAGTTAAACCCGGGGAACATTTGTGAACTGATTTGTTCCAAGTAGAACAAATGTGTTAATACTTATGTTAATTTTGTTTCAGATTCCATTACCAGCCGGATCGTGTACTTAAAGCAGACTATTATTTCCACAGAGGTATTTATAACAATATAATTGATTATTATGTACTTAATACCCAAAAACAAGACTTTGTCTTTGACAACTGACTTTGCAGCAGTGTGATTTTATCGTTACATTTTTATGATTGTGTTGGCGAAGAATATGTTTTTTGGCATCTTTTTCATTAAATATTCGTGTCTGAAAAAAATATGGGAAACTGTTTGGGATGTCTCGTGAAATCTTTTATTTTACAAAATATGTTCCATAATAAAATCTGTGTCAATTCGACTAGATTACAAAAATATTGTCTACAGTGAAAATATAATTTTGTCAATTCAAAAAACGCGCATAAAACAACGCCATTGTGGCCAGTGAATATATTATTATTCGAGTGCGTCGTAAAACAGTGACAACTTTGACATAATCAATTTATAATATAATATCTTCAGGCCCTTAAACGGCTTGTGTACACTAATATGCATTATTATTCTTTGCGCCATTTAACGATTATTAAACGATATTTTATATTCACAAAAGTCGTTCGGCAATAAAGATTATTAATACTTTAAATTTCCAATTGAGTATACATATTATATCATGGTTCTGGTTCTGATTTGCATTTTGCAGGCCGTGTGCTTGTGCATTTTAATTTTGTAAAACCGTACAGATTGTTTTTTTATTATTTGTCTTTTAGTAGTTTTACTTGATTGAGTTTTTTTATTTAAATTTGTTTTTTTCAATGGTCCAAGACCAAAACCTCTATTGTTGTAGCTGTAAGATGATCAGTTTAACTATCATGTCTGTAAAACAGCTGAAAAGGGTATTATAAATATTACCATTTAATATGTACTGCGTAAAATATGAACTCTCGTCGTTTACAATGAAATATTTTAATCAAAGATGCCGAAATAGTCTTTATACATTCTATACAAAATGTGGTTTATAAATCTCTTATCTCGAATCTCTTTTCACTAGTATCATTTATATCAGCTGATCATTTATATTTTATTTCTCATCACTTATCCATTATATTTTGGTTCTTATCTCTAATATATATCACTTAACTCTTATCATTCATATCTCATCTCTGAGTGTGAAAGTGTAACGCGAAAATGGCTATGTAAGATTCTTGTATCCAGCCCAATCAAATATCCATGTTAAAATATTAATGATTTTCGTGAGAAAAAGTCATTTTCGAATTTCAAATTACAGTAAAAATTATGGTCGATTGACCGAATTATATTATACAAATAGCATTTGTATAACATGTCCATGTTTTCGGTCTGTGTCTTATACAAATTTGGTTAAAAAAATAATTGCTGTCATACTTTTATATAAGCTGGATATTTCTATTTGTTCCTTATGAAGTTGTTCCCAAAAGTATTTGAAATGCATGCAAAATAAACGACTTATTTGTAGTTGTAATTTAAGCAAAAATACTCAAAGTATATTTTACAAGATGTGCTTCTTCTAAAGACATACTTGCATATCTTGCGAGCAATTCGAATAGGACATAAATAATTATTACCGTAAAACAGCTATTATCAAACGACACACAGCCTTTATTGGAGAAGACATGTCAACAACAATATAATTGAATTATAAATGCTATTTACACATACACGCATAACTAGTATTGAAAAATCAATACCGTTTTGTGTCAGAAAGTCTACAACAAACACGTTCAAACATTAATACCTAATTATTGAATCGTTGGAAAAATCTACAGGGTCAAAGTGGTTGTTGTTTACAGTTTACTTGATCATAAGTAAGGTTCTTCTGTACAATATATTATGTATAATATTTCTCCATAACGAATTCAAATAAACTGTTACATTTATTCGTATTGAACATTGCAGTATATTTCATAATGTCTTTACATTTACACAAATTAAAAGTATTACGGAGAAACGTTACCATCTTAATATAATATAATTTATTATTAGCTTATTAGTTTAATCGGTGATTTAAAAACTATTCAATTTTGTAAGAATTAATGCATTAAACAGCCATAAAATAACGCGTTTCTCTTATGTCTTATTTGATTATTTTTTTTTTTTACAACCCGTACATTTGAATTTATACGTCTTTATTTACTTGGATTAAAAAAAATAGTGTTCATAACAAAATCAACATGTTATTCATTGATTAATAATATTATTTTTCATTTCAAGTATGCAAATTAGGTACAACGCGATTTGTATGTGTTGTAACCTCATTTAAATTACTTATTCAATGACGGCGGGGTAACTTCGTTATTTTAATAATGTATGTTTTACCGTTGATGATACATGATACACAGCTCTATCGAGCTCATGATGTATAATATGTATACAATGTATTCAATCAATATTATTTGTTATTTAATTTTTATGAGGTCAATCCATTGGAATAGTGTGCTAAGTTCATAACTACTATTATTCTTCTATTACAGAATAAAATTAAACAACCTTTTTTAAAAAAAAATTAGCTGATAAGAAATGTGAAAGTGATAAGAACGATAATTGATAAGGAAGAACTAGCCGGTAACAAATGTGTCAGTGATAAGAATTCAGCAATAATTAGCTTTTCTATTAGAAGCTATTCTAATTAACTTTTTTAAATACTGTTAAATTATATGTCTTTATTGGGTATGACTGGATTAGCTGTATAAGTTTTTTAAAACAGTTTTTATAAGTAGTACCTTTAACATTTTTTAAACTGTATTGTAGTTAAGTATTAAGTTTGTACTACTTGTCAGCACACTCGATAAATAAACCAACAGTATAATATCATATAAATATAATATTTGTCATGAAGAAACTATATTTTTATTTTTAATAGTTTCGTAAAAACTATAGTATTTTCGTATTTTTCTTTATTTTTTGTACAATAATTTGATTAGAATTCTAATCGGTCGTTTCGCTCTGTCAAATGTATTTTAAAACCCGAGCAAAGATCATATCGCTGATTGTGGAATGATTAATATAGTGAATACTCGTAGAGCGTGTTTAACTTTGCATTAAAAATGAGCTGTTTTTTTTTTTAAAGGGCCAAACGTGTTACCAGGTTGAATAACCCGGATCGTTACAAGGGAGAAAAATACATATTATAATATATTTATTTTAAAAAAACTGTCTCGAAATAAACAGCCTAATAAATCATTATAAAATCAAAATAAATATGTTTATCATGTACATAATATTATACTCGTGTGGAAAACGTTTAGCGACATAAACAGAGACAAAATTATTTTACAAAAACTAAAATGTCCACTTCCTCTTCGTTTAAAGTTTAAACCGCACACACACATACACATACAACACAATCGATAGAAAGGTATTGTGATAACTGATAAAGACATACAATTTAACAGTATTTAAAAAAGTTAATTAGAAAAACTACTTATAGAAAAGCTTATTATTGCTAAATTCTTATCACTGTCACATTTGTTATCACACATTTGCTACCGGCTTGTACTTCCTTATCAATGGTCGTTCTTATTACTATCACATGCCTATCAGCTGATTTTTTTTTTAAAAAAAGGTTGTTTAATTTTATTCTGTAATAGAAAAAAAAATAGTAGTTATGAACTTAGCACACTGTTCTAATATTGTTATAATAATAATTTAAGTGTTTAAAAGTGTTTTCTGTCGGCCAAAGGCTTACTGTGTTGTCGCCGAAACCATTGTCTTCTATTGTGCGTTAATCGCCTTATTTATTTCTCGGGCCAATACACATTTCCTTAGTTATTCCAACATTATGTCATCTCTTCCTCGGTTGTTGCCTTCCGTATACGTTCAGACGAACACATGATCTTCTGACCTTCATAACCACAAATTCGTTGTCACTTTATTTGAGCACATCAGAAAATATATTTTTAATTTTATGGTCTTACAGACGTTTGTATGTTTCCTAAAACTTTGGACCATTTTTCATGAAGTATTTTATTTATTTTGCATAAACATTAAAAACGTCCCTTTAAAAGTAAAAACACCTTTTCTTAGAGATAAACATTTTTTAAACTTGCTGATAAATACGCCAAGGAGGCCGCAGCCGACACTTACCTAGAGATTTGGGAAGCCACTACCACACAAGACATGCAGCAACAAACAAAAAGGGCAATCACCAATCATATCCAAAACCTATGGCACAGATTCAGAGACAATAAACTCCGTGAAATTAAACACTGCTCAACCAAATGGACAAATACTACTCACCTAGACCGAAGAGAACATACAGCCTTAACAAGACTCAGAATAGGGCACACATGGCTAACCCACAGTCATCTCATGAAAAAAGAGCAAGCACCAATATGCGATACATGCACCATCACTGTATCAGTAAAGCACATCCTCACCGAATGCATGACATATGAAGACATCCGAAAGGAATCCAACATCCCAGATCACCTCCAGGCAGCACTTCGCCCCAACCTTCAGGCTGAACGCAACATCATCCAATTTCTAAAAAAATCAAATCTACTCTCTCTTATCTAAACAATTGTATACTTAATTTATTTGTAATTCTCCCTATTATACTATAACATATGTACACCAAAATTGTACGCCAATGACCCTGCAGTCGAGGCTTTTGAATTAAAAAAAAAAAACATTTTTTAATTAAAATACACATTGAAATACAAAATGTTGAACTCGATTTTTGTTTTATTGACAAATAACTTTTCAGTTATAAGTCTTGGGTAATTGCAAGTTGTTTGTACTTTTCAAAATTTATTCCACGAGAAGTATTCGAGACTATAATTATTGTTCGAAAATATTAAACGAATTTTACATTAATTACATTCAAACTTGGACTTGTTTGACTTGATGGAAAATGTTTGGTAAACAGCACTTAAAATAAGAATGATTTTTGTTTTGTAATATAAATAAAAAACAAAATAAAATGCCATTTTTGATAATTGAAATTTTAATAATGTCTTGTAAATTTTTATTTTGGCAATGATTCGAATTAAATATTATTTACATAATTTATTTTAATTAAATACATACTTAAATGATTTCGAAAACATGATTAATAGATTATAAATGTGAAAA